AAAAACGCAAAGCCCTTTATAATAATAAGTGTATTATAATATCTCTAATCTGCACCTAATCGATGCCTAATGCTTTCGACATATCTTAATAATCTTTAGTACTTACTTTAGTAAGGATAAGACATAGATTAGACAATTATTAGAGACATAAGACGCATAACAGAAGCTCTGCCTTTTTTGCAGAGAACCCTCGATATATTAAAAACAATGAAAAGTAACGTACAAGTAATTATTACAGCATAACTGATGTAAATTTTTCTGTTGGATGCCACATCGTCCCCGCATTTGATATTCAATTTTCCTCCACCAACTCGCTGCTGTCTATTCTGCGCTGCTCAAAACCTTTTCGTTTTCTGTGTACTATTGTAACAAGTAAATTTTGTTACCCGTTCTTCATAGCTGAATTGCTGAATATTTTAACTGTATTATCAACGTACCTAGAATCGCGGTGACAGTAACAGTGGTAACATTTATTGGTAATAAGATTTTCCGGTTACAAAATCTTCGGTAGCGTGCAGAATAGACCTGTAAGTATCTCACAGCTATATTTATTTATTACTAGCTGCAGTTATTATTGTGCTACTACGTAAGGCAATGTATGTATGTACATATTTGTGTAAAAATATATCGTATCTGCGCTAAGCTTAGCAGCGCTAAGGCGCCGTTTGTTCTGCTTACTTTTTGCCATGGTTACGTATACGCCATGTCGGCGGTTGTTTGAACATACATACATACATACATTCGTATTAACATAGTTGGTTTTCCGTAACAGGGTTTGCTAGTCTGCCAGCAATTAGTTTCGATTTTTTTTATCTGCCTCCTCGCTATTTCTCGGATAAAACACCGGGACCAAGAAAAACGTAATTATAAGTAGGTAAGGGAAGAAGGCGTTTATTCGTATGTATATCTATGAATATACGAGAGTACATAAATACCATTTGAATAAGCCACGACATCTGAGTAGGTCAACCAATAGTGTGCCATAATTAAAGCAACTCCCACTGTATGCCCAGCCATGTTCAACTAAGTGCGAAAAGTTGCGTTGAAGAAATCTAAAATTCGCTAAAACGTGTTGTCGCTGGTCTTAGCGAATAATGAAAGAAGATGTAACTAAGGAAACATTTAAACGGCAGCAGTTCATATCTTTTCACAATCCGTGTCCGCCGCATAGATGTACATATATATGCACATATACATAAGAGGCAGTAAGCGCAACTGCTGGCTTCGTTTTTTGCTTAGATCAGTTCAGCTCAGCTCAGCTCAGCTCATCTTGTCTCATCGTCATCTGATTTAACTAAATCAGTTTATGACAGCTGTGTTCTTTCTAATTAAATGAGTTTTAATTTTAAAAGCAAATTATGAATGCAACTCGTAGCTGGCGTTGTGCCCAGCCAGTCGCCTTAAGTGCTGTGACACGCTTTTCACGCTAATTTATCACCAACGCAAATTCACACTCAAGCAGATAGTGCAAAGTATTGAAAATGAAATCTCTTGCAATAATAAATTTTGCTCGCATTTTCTATAGAAATCGTTGAATGGGTAGTCAAACTGATTTTTGGAGCATGCAATTTTGCGAACTCTTGAGCGTATTTAAGTACAGTGACTCAAACAAATCACCACGTGTGGATTTATTTTAAATATTCGTAATGGTTTTCGAGGTAAATTTTTTGTTGGTATTTTTCTATCAAAATACCGTACAGGTTTTAAACAAACCCATATAAATCACAGTCCCAAACCTTAAACAAAATTTAGGAAAATTCAACAAATTTTCATAAAAATTTCAAAATTTTGATTCTGAATCTTTAGAACAGTTTTGGGTATGCGGTTTTATAGCCCACATAATTTAAGTCAAATGAAGTGCAAGTTTTAATCAGCTAAAAAATCGGGTTTATTTTTGAGATTATTTATTTTTATTTTTTTGAGACTACTTTTTCGGTTTTTTTAATATAACAAGTGCAATTTGCAAAAACTGGTGTTGATGGTTTTAAATTTTGTTGCTAACGGTTTATGCTTACATGGAAAAAGGGCAAAAATCCGTCACAAAAAAAATTCTCAAAAATCAACGGGATTTTTTAGCCGTTTTAAACTTTCACTTGCTTAGAAGAAAATTGTATGTTCTATAAAACGGTATACCCATAAATATTCTAAAGATTCGGAACGAAAATTTGAAGTTTTGAAGAAAATTTTTTGAATTTTCCAAAATTTTGTATAAAGTTTGAAACTGTGATTTATATGAAAAATAACAAAAAAAAAAAAAAGTAAAATAAATCAAAACGTGGTGATTTGTTTAAGTCACTGTATATACATACTACATAGGTGCAGTGCAAATATAAATCTTTGCGTATTATTAACAAACCTAAGCATATTATTGGAGACACTTTTTTTTAATGCTTAAGATGTATACATGGAATATCGTTACAATTTTAATATGTTGATTTTGAGAAGAAACATAATCCTGATAATTTCCACTGAAACGGTAAGGCGTTCTACGAGTCGTTGCATCGCAAGCAAAAAATCTCGAAGGATACATATGTATACACGAGCAAATCTCACGAGCTGTTACAATTTTCGATAAAAATGCGATTTTCGTGGAAAAAGGAGCACACTTATCTTTGAAAATGCCTTATCTTAAGTTTTGCATAAAAAACAAGATTCCATCGCGAGATTGCATTTTAATGAAAACTTAAAAAAGATATATGTACTAGAAGAGTCAAAATAACAACTCGTGCTCATAAACCTGTTGTGTATGTAACGCATACGCCCCGTAGCACCATACATATTTAGTCAGAAAACACGTTAATCGCACGCCTTAACTGATGTATTTTTTTCTTTTTTCTAGAAAATATTCACCTTATATGGCAACATTATCAGAGTGCAATATTTTTAAATCACGAGTACAAAATATGCCTGCGAAGAGTTTGAGAAAAGAACACGAAAACTTGACGGGCTTTCGCAGGGCAGAACAAATTCACTGTTATTTTGAGAAGAGAAAACGCTATTAGAAGTCATATTTTTTAAAAGTAATTAAATATTGGCTTGGAATATTATTTTACTCTATTCTTAACGAATATATAAATATATTAATTTCTTTTTGTCATCTTATAATCAATGTGGTTGACCCCATCGATCCAAGTTAGGTTAGTTGTCTGCCAGTTTTACTAAAATTTAATACAATTTCCACAGATTTAGAAAACAGTTTAAAATGTTATATTTTCAGCACTGGCGTATGCGGTTATTTAAAGAGATATGTAAAATGTTTATTGCATGTTTACGAATGTAAGCGTTCACTTTATTCACGCTACTCGTCTTGCAATTGCAGCCAGTAATAATACATATAATACCAGTGCATACATAAGTGATTACTGACTTCCACAACGAATATGCACATATAAACGTACACATACGTATGTATGTATGTATATTAGACTTCATCACTGCCCATACAGAAAAATATCGGTATTGTGTTTCCATTGGAATTATAAAATCTGTTATATTTTAAGGTTTCCACCAAAATATTTCGGAATTTCATAGGATGTTTTCGGAATTTTATTGGAATGGTATTTTCTCACCCATTTTTATTCTTTTGCTAATAAACTCATTCAAAGGATGTGTTGGTATTTGAAAAAATTGGGACGTGATTGAGTTTTTTTGCACAGAAATAAAAACAGTGGGAAACACCTTTCTACTGATACCCCATAAGTCTAAACCGGAATATTTTTGGCCCCAGTTATTCAAGTTTTTCGTAAATCAATCTTTGAAAAAAGTTGAAAAAATCAGCATCAAATATCTTATTATTACGATTCCATTGAAAAGATTTTTAAATATTTTAATGCAGATTTTTTAAGCTTAAACCGTTTTGTCATCTGCGGATATTATTTTAAAAAAGTTCTTTAAGAAACTATTTTCATTCATTAAAAACTTAATTTTTGAAGGTATTTTCAAATCAGTCCAGCTCACGTAAATCTTAATATTTTTCCGAAATATTTTGGTGAATGCCTTCACATATAATATATTTTGTAATCCCGGCGGAATTGCGCAACTTTGTTTTTGTGATGGAGTCTAATGTATATACATGCATACGTGCTGTTGCTAAGTGTGTGTGCATAATGTTTGCGTCTTTATTAATAAAGTTCACAAATGCAAAATGAGCACAAGAAATGAATGTATTTCAACGCCAACAAGCCATGTTTTATTTTCGCATACTACGAGCGGCTCAGTTTAATATCTGCGAATAGTTATGCATTTTTTTCATGTTGCATGTTGCTTTGTTGCTACGCCTACAACCAGTGCAAATGTAAAAGATACAACATACACTGAGAAAAAGGATTAGTTTCGAGAACTAAAGATATTTAGTTCCCGAATTTTGACAATATTTGGGAACTGTTACCAAGGGTTGGAAACTATTACCATCGATTGGTAATTATAACTAAATATATTAAAGCTTCTAATATTCATCTAGGTTGTAACAAATCGTTAATTTAGTTGAAGGGTTTGGTTAATACTAATAAATATTTCTTTGAAGCATATTTCTACAAATTCCATTCAACTTAACGTATGGTTCATAAAAGGATGTTATTAAGCTCTGCTAATGCAGATAAGCTTTCTTTCAACACGTGGTTTAGTCATAGTTACCAAATCTTAGTTGAGGCAACCACGATTTGTTTTGAGAGTGGAACATATTCATGCTTGTGAGCCACCCCTAAAGAATGCTGAGCGCTCTCTGAGCACATACGAAGAGCGCCAGCTGAGCAATGCACACAGTCCCACTTATTGAATCGTTTGAATGCGCTAGTATGCCGACCATTGCATTGTGCGTGGAAATCATTGCTCCGCTACCGCTTTCGTATATGGGTGAAACACGCATGTGGCCCCAGAGCGCTCAGTAAGCTATGGCATGTCGATCGCTGCGCCATGTGTGCTATGACATGCCCATACTTGTTTTTCTCAGTTTCAGTTTTGCTATCATCGCGAGTTGTTTCGGTGCGCGCATAGTTTAAAGTTTAATTAAAAATATAAAGTTTGATGCCAACCGGGGTTTTTCAGTGGATATATAATTCATGTGAATTATAATTTGAAAGTGTCTATTTAGCTAAGGAAAAAGCAAAGCAGTATACGTCCAGCAGATATTGACCTGGGTTTTCGCACGACTGTTCCTGTTTCATCGTTGTTTTTTAGGAAATTCTTACCAACATATACATATGTATTATTTACTTTAGTAACTAACTTATGTAAATATGTACGTATTTTTATGCTTAATATATGCAAATAAAAGAAGAAAGTAAACACAACAAACATCGAGTAAATTTTTATTTGTGTCAAACTGAAACTTTTTTCCTAATAATAAACGGTTAGCTGATTCAAGTCTACAGCAAGTTCACAAAATTAATTGAAAACTTGTATCAACCAAAGCATTGTTTATATTTTCTCAACAATGATTTTATTCAACTAACAATATTGTCCAATCAAGGTAGTCGTTTTGTAATTATTAACAAATATACATTTGTCCCAACTAGAAGTCTTAAGTAAATTGCAGACTTTCGTGAACTATATATTTATTTCGCCATATCCAACTATGCCACTTGATCACTATAACCAAATCTTGGTTATTATAACTAAACCTTTTTCTGGGTGTATCTACGAGTACAACAACCACTTCCACTTGGCGGTTGCTTATTGTTCGTAGTTGGTTGGTGCTGTTGCTCTTGCTGTTTTTCCCATAGCTCTATCTGAGTTAATACTTTGCCATTTTGTATATGAAAATCCATATGCAGTCACACACATACACACACACACACTTTCACGTAGGTGCATGCAGCGCTTTGCGAAGAGTGTTTTTGTGCAAATATATATATGTAGACATTTTCTTGGTATGCAATTCCATGCAGTCGAACGGCAACGCCTCTGCGCAAAACTGCGCCAGGCAACACCGAGCGCTGCACGTTGCACCACAGAAATTTCGCTGTCGTTGCACATCGCAATGTTGCAGCAATGACAGCCGCATCACAACATTGCGGTTAGTGTCGTCTCCGCTGACTGCCAGCGCCTCAGACGCCCTACCGCGCCCATGCGCACTCATAAATAGTAAGCTATGCCTCCACCTCCGCTTCCGTCTTCATATTTTACTCCGCCAGCATTGCATATCTACGCTGTTGTGTCGCTGTCGCTTGCGTTGTGGTCGCGGCTGTTGCGTCGAGTGCGGCTTTTGTGGGGAAAAATTAAAAATTTCAAGTGGGTTGCAAGTGGTTTCAAGGATTTCATTTTTTTGCTCGCTCCCTCTCGCAATTTTAATCTGCACACAGAAGTAGAAGTACAGAAGTGCGAGAGTATATCAAGCTTCAGCGCCAGCACGAATTATGCACATA